CAGAGTCTCTGCCAAATGGTCGGGGTTGGGAACCCCGACTATTTTGTCGTAGCGAAGTGAATCTCTCTGCCAAATGGTCGGGGTTGCCAACCCCGACCAATTAGGCTGGGGCCTAAATTAGTCGGGGTTGGAAACCCCGACTATTTTAGCGTGTCCTTAGCTAAATATAGGGCTGTTAATCAGTTTGAATGGTGCGGTTTATAGGTGACACCGAACACCAAACCGATCTATTTTTTCGGTTTGGTTCGGTTCGGTTTTTCACTTAATTTTTCCAAAAACCAATTGTGTTCGGTTTAATTCGGTTTGGTTTTTCTCTGGTTTATATCGGGTTTTTTCGGTTATTTTATAAAGAAAGCAAGTCTAGAAAAGTAGAAAGTAAAAATGTCTCATATTACATAACCGTTTCTGAAAAGAAAATAAAATAAAAAAAAAATAAAAAAGGGCAGTCCACAATGCCACATAACAGTTTTCAAAAATAAAAAAAGCGATGAAAAACTAGAATAGCAGAAACATATAGATGATAGATGCCTCCATGTCCATGAGAGCTAACTTCAAGTTCAGCAGCAAGCTCCAATCCATGACCGAAAATCCAAAAACCTGCAAAAACAACCTTCATGAGACACATGATTTCACAAACAATAGGCAGAAGACCTTAGCTCCTGCACCGAAAAACTGAGAAACTAGAACCGTCGATGAGATGACTGTGACAAAAGAAACATATAATGGATGTGTAACATTAATCAGAAATATCTCGGAAATAAAATGAACCAAACAAAAGAAACAAAAATGAGTGGAATGTTTCAGGTGAAGAAGTTCAGGTTCCATTGCAAAGCTATAAGGAGGAGATTGTTACTGAAGCCTGGATAGCTAAGAGATGATTTTGTTTCCTACGTATGAAAGAAGGGCTACAAAAATAATCATTCAGAAGAAGACATTTAGAGAAGTAAGCATGAAAAATATACAAGAAGAAAACGTAACCTGACACAGTAAAAATATTCAGTATGAGTTTCATTAAAGGCCCTGATAATGCCAGAAAAAATGTACATGCTTTTTGTGCAATATGCAAATAACAGTTTGTTGGGTTTACATATAAAAATATAAATGGAACCTGGCACAGTAAAGAGAGGAGATAGCATTGCAGGAAGCATTTCTTCATGATTTACTTCCCATCTTGTAAGCCTAGCTCAAGGAACTGTTCCTTAAAAAAAAGTTGGGAAGATATATAACAGCTTCTGACATCTCATTTACAAGTTCTTTAACTCCTAACAATATGTCCAATAAACAGAATATGTACCACTTTAATAGTAAGATTGCAATAACATCGCAACATTGCGTGATTTGAATGTATGGAAACCTCAAGGTGCAAATACCATGTTTTGAAAGAAGCCTCAAGATGATTTTCACAACCCTCAACCATCATTCAACGCAACTTCAGAGTTTGCTTGATATGAGACCACAAGTTCTAAGTAGACCAAAAACTACAAAAGCAGTCTGACTATTGATGCACAACAACTCAATAGTCTTGCACACTCTTGCGCACTCATACAGTAGAAAGAAGCAATAAGAAGAAATGATTGACTTACCATGTTCAACAGTAACAATAATAAGCACTTTATATACATTTATAGTAAAGAACAATAAGTTGACTAAACATATCACCACCAAATATATAGAAGTCACTAAACATAACACCACATACCAGCAAGTCAGCAACATCAAGCTTGGAAAGCACTCATGCAGATTTTGGAGGCAACATGCTACCACTCGTAGCATCACTAGCTAGCTGAAGCTGAACAAGAAACTAAAGAAAGTACTTCCCATTCTACATGCAAACAAAATGTGAAGAGTTAATTAACATCATTATATTTCAAACAAATTTAGTGAACCAGTTCATTAGATACGAGTAGAAAACCAAAACATACCTCGCTCAACTTGTTCACACAGCTCCATATCCTCAATGGTTGGAGTTTCATGCAATGCAACATGAGTACTAGTGAGCCAATTTTGGGTACAAATCAAAGCCTCCACCATTCTAGGACTCAATGAACTTCGAAACGGATCAATTACCCGGCCACTTGTGCTGAAGGAAGATTCTGAAGCTATAGTTGAAACTGGAATAGCTAGAAGATCTTTTGCTACTCTAGCCAAAGTTGGATACTTTGCAGTTCCACTCACTCTCCACCAATCTAATATGTCAAAATTTTCATCATCTTCTCCTTCACACCTATCAGCTAGATATTTATCCACATCATTTTGAACAATTCCAGCTTTTCTTGCTTTTCTTCTTTGTTCCTTTTCAGCCAACTTTCTTTCATAAGCAGATGTACACATATTCAAAAAAGAAACATCAGGCTGCAAGCTTTGAGAATCAGAAGAGCACTACATCACTACTTTCTTGCAACAGACCATAAATCTTAAGCAAATCACCAAAAGTAATATGGATTGTTGGAGAACTTGAGCAACACACATGCAAAATCATATCATAAAATGGTTTCAGAAAAATAGCAAAGTCTTCTGCTGAAACCCAATCACTTGCCTCAGGTGGCCCATTTTTTAATTCACCTTGAAAATATCTCACATAGTGACCGTCATCCTCTTTCAATCTATCAAATGCTTTTCTGAACTTTATAGCTGACTGTAACATCAAAAAAGTCGAATTCCATCTGGTGGAAACATCCATGATCACAAGCCCTTTACTCTCAATTTTGACATTTTCAATACACTTCTTAAATATGTCCAGCCTTTGAGGGGAAGATCTTACATACCTAACAGCATTACGAATGCTTTGGATACAATCATTCATTACAGCAAGGCCATCATTCACAATTAAATTTAGAATATGGGCAACACACCTCATATGCAAATTCTCCCCTCCCTGCAAAAGTACATTAGGGGTTTCCCACTCCCCTATTCTCTTTATCAAATCCTTTAATGCAGCATCATTAGCAGAGGCATTATCAACTGTTATGGTGAGAATCTTTCTTATTTCCCACTCTATCAGACACTCTTCTAAAAGCCTAGCAATGGACTCCCCTTTATGGTTTGGAATAACACAGAAATTCAACACTTTCTTATGTAAAATCCAATCATCATCAACAAAATGAGCAGTAAGGACCATGTAATTTATATTTTGAATAGATGTCCAAGTATCCGTTGTTAGGTTGACCCTCTTCCCTTTTAAAGCATCCTTAAGAATTTTCTTTTCAGACTTGTACATACTTAACACATGCTTTGCAATTGTCTGACGACAAGGAATAACCCAATAAGGACAAGCCCTCTTACAGAAATACTTAAACCCCTCTCCCTCAACAAACCTAAAAGGCAGCTCATCCACTACTATCATATGAACACAGCCCTCAGTTATCTCCTGTTGAGAACATGACCCAATAGCTTTTAACTCTCCCTTTTTTTTAAAAACTAATATTTTCTGCCTCCCTTTATTTAACATCTCAACATTTGGGGGATATCTCTTGCAGATTTTCACATGACTAAGAAGGGATGAGGTACCATTTGATCTAGGATCAGCTAATATCTCTTTTTTGCAATAGTTACAAGCCCCTTTAACTCTACCATTCACCATTTTTCTAGTAAAGTGAGACCAAGCTTCTGACCTTTCATTGTTCTTCATATCTTCCAAAATCTCCTCCTCAGTCCTTGTATCTACGTCATCCTCTAAATCAACAATTTGAGGTGGAGCTACAGCAGATGTTGCTTCAGATGGTGTGGATGACTCACCATAACTTAAAGGGGGCTGCAAAGAACGATGTAATGAATCTGGAATTAGTAAACAACATAAACTAAAAAAACAACATAAGTCTTTAGTTGCATCAATCAGATCGACCTAAAGAAATTAGAACAAATTAACAAAAGATTGATATTAAGATCGACCTAAAGAACTTAGAACAAATTAACAAACCTGAGAATTCTCAGATGCAGTATTAAAAAGACGCCTTGTTGGGAGCCTTGAGTTCCCACAAGATCTCTTCATACTGAAAGATCTGGATTCTGGAGTAGAGAGTTGGAGTCTTGCGTTCCAACAGAATTTTCTACCATAAATAACCCATATCCACAAATAGATCAGCTACGAAAATAAAAAAATCCAAACTTTATTAATTAAATGAGAATTAAAACAGCCTTTTTACCTTTGAGAGCCTGGAGGCTGGAGATCAGAAACCTAAGATTTCACCAGAAGAACCCTAGATTGGGGGCGATGGACGAGAGGGGACGAGGGAGGGAGCGCGAAGGACCAGTCACCAGAAGCTCATTGGGTTTGGCGGCGTGAATGAGAGCTCAGAACGGAAGAACTCAGAAGCCCTAGAATTCTAGAAAATTAGAAATAGAATTTTCGCCCTAGCTAGAAATTTTCAAGTTTGAAGTTTCTACATAAAATTTTATGTATATTAATAATATATATCTATAAATAATATAATTTCCTTACAATATATACAATCGGTTTTTCGGTTCGGTTTCGGTTTCCAGACATCCGAAACCAAAACCACACCAAACCTTTCGGTTTTCGGTTATTTTTTTGCGGTTTGGTGCGGTTTTTTTCTTTCCTCAGTTTTTTTCGGTTATGGTGCGGTTTTGGTGTGGTTATTTTTCGGTTATCGGTGTTCAAGTTACAGCCCTAGCTAAATAGTCGAGGTTGCCAACCTCGACATAACTAAATAGTCAGGGTTGGCAACCCCGACTATTTAGCGGCGTCATTTAAAAAAAACCGACCCATTTCGTGGCCACGCTGCTGACGTGGTGTGAAATGGGTCGGTTTTGATAATAAAAAGTGGATTGGGTCGAATTTTTTAATAAAAAAAATTAAATGAGTTTAAATCGAAAATTTGTTCTTTGTAAAATACCATTCCGCACCCAAATCGGCCGGTTAAGCGCTTTCATGAGAACGTAACAACCAAAGCGAAGCAGCGCCCCCATCAAAAATGGAGCTCTACCTCTGGCTCCCGTCTCGTCTCCGTCTCCACTCCTAGATCGCCCTTGCTCTTCTCCTCCTCCCCCCACAAACTCAAAATGGAAGCCCTAACGAGCTCTGCGATACTCGTCGCCCAAGACCCCACCTCTTCGCCGACAAGCTCGCCTGGATCGCAGCCGCTCCCCTCCTGCCCGCCGCCTCTCAACGCCTCACGCGCGCCAACCTCAACTCTCTCCTCGCCCTTGCTCGCTTCCTCTCGAAATCTCCGGCGCCCTCCGCCGCCTCCCGCTCTCCTCTTCTTGATTTCCTTCGTAATGTCCCTCTCCTTCGTCCTTCTCTCTGGCCTCAATCGTTCTCCCAGGATCACGCCTCCTCTTTCCTGAACGATCTCTTCAAGTATCTCGCTGCTGCGTGTTCGATTTCCCCCGATCTCGTCACTGAGCTCCAATCTTTCTTCGGCCATACCCTTCTTCTGGCGGCGAGGCAGTACATTGCCGATGATTCCGCTGCGTCGAAGGCGATTGCGAAGGCGTTTCTGAGTGCAGTCGTCAACAATTGCCCTCCGATCCTCCCTGCCGATGCTGAGACAGTGGTAGAGTGCCTTCTCGATGGGGTCGCGGTGGCAGGGACCTCATCGACGGAGAATTCGGTGTCTTCATCATCGTGGGATTCGAAGGGGAAGGGAAAAGATGAGAGCGGGGAGGTGATGGATGACGGTTCCAGTGAGGCGGTGAGGGATAATGGGAGTGGGACCCCCAGGAGGAGCGTTTCGGACCAGGTGTTGACGCCGACATTGAGTAGTCAGAGTTATGTGGGAAGGTTTGAGGAGGAGGCGGTGGAGGTGCTGGAGAGGATGGAAATTGTGTTCCGGTTGGTCGTGGATGTGCTCGATCCAGGTGGGAAGAATGTGGTGCTTCGGAATTTGGAGGAGGTTCGGTTGACGGCTACTGCTCAGATCAAGTCACTGTCGGCATTTCTTAAGGTACCTGAGTTTGCACTCTGCTTGAATTGCTTTATAGTTCTGGCTTTAGGAGGTCAAGTAAGTAGTGCTTCGAGCATTGGAATGTCTGGTAACTGATAAGTGAAGCAAGTAATGAACATAGCAAGAGGGATCATCAAGTACTTGTTTTAACTGGACACATTCGTATTTGGATGCTTTTGACTTGAAAATTTGATGCAAGCATAATAGGCTATGCTTTAAGGTCTAATTGGATGTTTTTAAGGATGCTTTATATTCCAATTACAAAAAATACTTGCTTTTCTAACTATCCTTTCTATCCAGCTTGCATACTGACTACTCATTAACCAAAAAAAAAAAGGATTAGTAAGAATGCATCTAAGTTAGCTTCTATTGAGGTTTTATGTCTCATTTTCTCCTCTTTCTGGAATCTATGTCGTAAATGACAAAGGGCCAACTAATAAAATTCAGTTTTCACTCATGTATCATACCTGCATAAAATTATTACTAAGTGATTGAGGGACATCTGACCTCATAAGGTAGGCTGAGGGTTTAGACAGTGATTGAGGGAGATATGACCTGTAAGGTTGGTTGAGGCTTTAAACCGTGAATATCTGGTATTATGTACATAGGAAATGGTTGAATATGAGTTGAGAAAGCTGATATACATCAAGTAGTATATAGGTAGAATGCAAATTTTTAGGGTCTCTTACAATTTTGGTTGCTGGTCTCATGTTCATCTCACTAGACAACTGACTCCTTCAATTGAATTTATAAATTATCCAATTTATTTTGAGCGAACAACTTTATCCAACTTGTAGTTAATCTCTAATCATTTCAGATATTCTTCGATTAAAAAAAAAACTTAGTGATTTCACAAGTTTCTTCAATGGAAAGGAGAGAAAAAAAATGCAGCCACCTCCCTTCTTTACATAATATATTACTCCTCACTTTCTCTTGAAGGGGAAATCAGGTAATTGCCGAGCATATACATTAGGGTATATGCATGCATATCTTTCCAAGTACTATTTCTGCAAAAGTATACAAACGCCCTACCAAATAAAGTTTAAGAAAATATTATTTTATATATGCAATGTATTATGTCTCATTAACCCATAATAGCTTGATCATTGTTCATTTGATTTCATATGCAAAAAACAAAAAAGATATAATGTTCAGGCATACCATTTTTGTGAGTCGGGTATGTACTTGATTTTGGTTAGATGAATTTTATCCAACTCTCTATTGGGTATTGTTTCCTCATGGAAGTACATAACTTGCAGTAAGATAGATTTCTTCTTATGTGAGGAGACAATAAAAGCAATACACAACACCACGGATGAAAGGAGTTAGAAAATCCTTTTTTGGCAATTTGTACCTAATAGGATACTGGTGATTCATAAAATTAAAATTTTTAAGCCACTAAGACAGAGGGTATTTTGTTATATAATATAAAATGAACTGAACAACTCTAGACTTGAGAACTCTAGCAAGAATTTAAAAAAATTTAATCCTGTGCCATGAGAGGTTAATTGGAAATTTAGAAGATATCTCAACATCTTTTTATCTTTATTATCTTTCTTAAGTCACATTAAATTATGTGTTTGTCTGAATATCTTTATGTGTGGTGGGTGGGTGTCCCCTTGGTAGATCTCTCAATTTTATTCTGGTAACTGTTTCAAGATTTAATTGTCACCAGATGCGAAGACGTGATTTGAAAGAGCAGGGTTCACAGCTCAAATCCAGAATCCATGCAAAGCTAGCTTGCTGTCAAGCAGCTACAGGTGTCCAAATTAAGAGTCTCCTGTCTTTACATTCAGATGGAAAGACTGCCAAGGATGCATTACGTCGAACACTTGCCCTACTTTTAGATGCGGCAGAAGCTTGTATATTCTCTTCCTGGCGGAAGCTGAAAATTTGTGAGGAGTTGTTCAGTGCGTTGCTGAACGGAATCAGTCAAATAACGGTCTCTCGTGGGGGCCAGCTGCTACGTGTTTTGCTTATTCCATTGAAGCCACTTGTAAACTACACATGTGCGCAGGTGGGATTCGTGTAAATTTGATTTATTTATTTTTCTTTTCTGTTTTTTGATGTTGCTAAGCATTTAGCTTAGTATATTTTCCTAAATATAGTGGGAAACATCTTTTCTTATAAATTTTTTCTAAAACATCTACTAACTGGTCCGTATTTGTTACTCTCAAAGAACCGAGGGCTATTTGCAAATATTTATAAATAAAATATTTGCAAAAAGACCCTTATGATTAGTGTTATGCAACATTTTACTTTGACATGAGGATTAATTTGGAAAAGCTGTAGCATGTGAAGTTTTCAATATTATTTAAAAAATAAAATTAAAAAACTCTTATATACTAAGTTCTTTTCTCTTAACAGTAGTGGCTGAGTATTTTGTATCTTGTTGATGTGTTGTTCCTTGGAGCAGGCCGACATATTGGGTGACAGCCAGGGAGCAATGTTTGAGGCTGTTGCAAAGCTAAGTTGTGAAATAATTGAATTTGGTTGGAGCAAGGATAGGGCTTTAGTTGATACTTTTATCATGGGGTTAGCTTCGTGCATTCGTGAGCGGAATGATTACGAGGAGCAGGTATATTTTAGCTTTTGTGGGGGGTCAGAAAAGGGTTTTGTTCAAAGTGGCTTCACAACAATTTATGTGCTAGTTATTTCCATTCATTTTGGTTTGTTGCACACAATTTGGCGACCTCATGTTTTATGTATGGTATACCTTAAAGTAGATTTTTGGGTTGTGCAGATGCACATGTAACAAAAAAGTAAAATAAAATATTTGAACCTTTAGTCAGAATGTGATAGTGGAAGTTTGTGTATGAAAAAATAGTTACTGTTTGGAGATTTAAGGGTCAACTAAGCATTTAACATTATGGGCGTCAGTGTTGTCAATGTGCGAGGCGCAATGCGGGACGTAAGGAATTTTTACACGCACATGTGCAAGGCACAAAGTGATGCGCGCGCCTGAGTGATGCGAGGCACACACTGCGCACATAAATTTTCAAGATATATAATCGAGCACGAAAGAACATGTTTAGGAATTCACATAACAAAATATGTCAGAATAAATGATATCTTACTACAAAATCACAATATAAGGTCTTATTTTCTAATGCTAACACCCAACATAGTAGCAAAATTCATAAATTTTCAAATCAAACGTCAAATCAAGACTAATATTCAAGCAAAAGATTAGTTATGGTCCTCAATCGAAGGACACTAAACATGCCTAATAGATTTATTTTGTTTTTTGGGATATGAATTATCGAGTATGTTAATAAATAAAACTATATGAGGGTATGTACTACATGCACCCTGTGCAAAGTTAGGATGTATGCGAGGCGCACAAGACGCTGCTGCATCAGATGCGGGGCGCTTTGCCACCGCCCCTCATCACAAGGCGCATTAGGTGTAGTGAGGCGTGCGCCTTTGAAAACACTGATGGGCGTCATGGTTTCCTTTTAACTAATGATGTCTAGCATGTCTTTCGGTTCTCGGATGTCAATGTGAGAGGCACAACGCTTTGAAGTTATAAAGAAATCAAGAAGCTGTTTTCAAAAAGCAAACCCTTATATTTTATTCATCAAGAGAATTTAAATATGTGATTCTGTTACATACTTATTATATGGAAAGTAGGTTGGTCTGCTCATCTGATATCCATGCGGTCTTCTATCGTTATCTTTTTCCCTCGGGCAAATCTTTTTTAAATTTGTAGTATCTTATGGGGTTTGGTTTTCTGACTGCTGATTGTATTTTGGAGTTTCATGTGCCACTTTACTTTTACAGGATGGAAAAGAAAAACAAGCTGTTCCCGTTGTGCAGTTGAATCTTATACGCCTGCTGGCTACTTTGAGCGTTTCTGTTAATAAGCGGGAAGTTGTGGACATGATTTTGCCCCTATTCATTGAAAGCCTGGAAGAGGGTGATGCTGCAGTTCCAAGCCTATTGCGACTCCGAGTATGAAACCTTTCTCCTTGCGATGTAAATTGTATTGTCTGTTGTTTTTTTTGATATTCTACTGTCCTCATAAGATAAATTGATAAGCTTTGTACGTATATAACATAACACCTCTAATATTTCCATACTTCCTCAACTGGGTGTTCGAACACTTTCAGCTACTTGATGCAATATCACAGATGGCTTCTTTGGGTTTTGAGAAGTCTTACCGTGAGACGGTTGTTCTGATGACAAGGAGCTATATGGACAAAATTAAAAATGTAGGTTCTGGGGAAAGCCAAACTGTACTCCCTGAAGCTCTTACAGAGCGTGTGGAGGTCTGTTCTATAATCCTTTCCAATCTTCAGAATAGAATTATTTTTGTTAACATATAGTATGCACATACTGTTACTTAGCTAACTGTTACAGTTATGTTCTAGACGCTTCCTGCGGGTTTCCTTCTGGTAGCTTCACACCTTACTAGCTCGATGCTCAGAGTTGACTACCGTCACCGGCTATTATCTTTATGCTCTGATGTGGGATTAGCTGCTGAATCAAAAAGTGGCAGGTAGAGAATAGTTACTTGTCAAATTGTTAACTTTTCTGCTGAGAAAAAGTGTCCTTGATACAGAATATTTAGACATCTACTTGTCATTTTGGTCGAACATTTAATTTGATCGCAAGGAGGCAACCTGATTGCATTTGTATACAATATCAGACTGGTCAGTTGAGGTCTTGTGAAGCTATGCTACTATGGCAACCTCATGCTACTCATTTATGTTCTCCCTGCGGATCATATTCCATGGTATTATTTTTCTTTTATAGATAATATTCTTAACCCAAATTTTGGTTCTTGCAGGAGTGGTGCTGACTTCCTAGGCCCATTACTTCCTGCTGTGGCTGAAATTTGTTCTGATTTTGACCCTGCTTCCAATGTTGAGCCTTCACTCTTAAAGCTGTTTCGTAACCTTTGGTTCTATATTGTTTTGTTTGGGTTGGCACCACCTGTTCAACAAAATAAACTTCCAACTAAACCAATTTCTACTTCACTTAGTAGTACCGGAAGCATCACTGGTGCAACTCTTCAAGCTGTCTCTGGACCATACATGTGGAACAACCAATGGTCTGTAGCTGTTCAACGTATAGCATTGGGAACACCACCCCTAGTAAGTTTCTTGTTTATAAACTGAATAAATATATTTTGGCATCTGTAGTAAACAATCCTTCTGATAGGATATTTATGCCAGTCATCGTTTTGGATCCACTTCAGAACCTTATTTCTTTCGTACATGAGGCTTTTTAAAGATGATTCATCTGAAAAATCATAATCAGGTCTTAACCTATTACATGCACTCATTTGAAGATGATCAACTGTGTATGATATACTGAGTTCATGAGCTGTTAACTTAGAGCAACCATCATGCCTACACCACCATTCAACATATTCATAAGAAATTGCTTTAACAATATCATCTACTTTTTTCAAGGCGTCTTTTGGGTGTCCTAGGTGGTCAGGAACCTAGAGAAAAAGCCTCCTCTGATTTCCTTGGCATTTAGATCGACAGTTGTCTGTTTTCTATGGTCTTTGCTATTAATCTGTAAGGAGCCAAGTCTAACATTATAGACACACAATGGCTGTAGATAACCAAAATTCATAGCCATCTTTCATGTGAGAGCATTTTAAACAAGAAAAAACTAATAATTATGACTTTTGGGGGACTTTTTTTTGGTCAAGTCATATATTGAGATAAAAAATATACCCAAGTACTGTCGTTAGATAACTGTTATATAAACAAGTATCAAAATGAGTGTCAGCAATCCCCAATCCATAGTGCCTGCTGATGGCTAACAATTAACTGTTCCAAGATGAACTTACTGGTGGAAAGATACACTATCTTAGACCATCTGGGAAATATAGGTATTGTTCAGAAGAAATAAAAGGGAAGGATGACACAAGCAAAAACCCAAAAGCTAAAACCGCCAGAAATCAAGAACCTCTGCGATCCTCTTCAAAGCTAAATTCTATTATGAGCCACATCCATCACCTTCATCCCGTTAAATCACTTATTCCCCGGCAATCTTGAGTTCAAAAGTCTGGATCTCCAGCATTCTAAGGTGCCAGCATTGGGGGATCCTACGAGTTCTCAAATGGCAAAAGTAATTATTTTTCTTTTGATTCTTTTCCTTTTGTTTCAATTTCTCACTTTCTTCTTTGTCACCACGTCGGCTAGGGTTTTGACCCCTTACCCTTTAATTCATTTTAAAATTTGAATATATTTTTCCTTTTTCCGTCATTTCTTTTAGTTGAGGATTTCTTTATTTGAGAAGAAGTGCCTACACAAGTTATGCTACTTCTTTGGTAGAGCATCAGTTTTAAGTTTAGTCACTTCTCTGTTGAATCTTTTTGTTATTTTGGTTAGTCAGTCTTTGCTCTATGTTTTGAGGGAGAAGTTTCTTGATTTTAGGTTCCTGTGGGTAAGGGTAAGTTGTTATTTGAATACTATGATACTTAACCTTGGACTTAGGAACAAATTGTTAACTTAGAGTCTTCAGTAATAAAATATTTTTAGGATTTAAATTGTGAAGTTAATATCTGGTTAAGTATTGTAGATAACCAATAACTAGGATCTATTTGAGAATAGTGATGATTTTGGTTTCAACATTTAACAGTTTACACCATAGTTACATGGTTCGCAATATGTAGCGGGTCATCGTACGAATGCGGGTACCCAATTCGAGACTTTGAAAATTTGGATTCGACGGGGGTAATTTGCTTTGATACACAAGTTCGATATAGGATACAATGTAATTTTTTTGGGTAACGCTTATCATTTTTCAAAGTGTATAGTAGAAAATTAGAAACTAGAAAACTAAGTATGCATTTCAATATTTTTTCATATAAAATACTTCAATATTTCATGTTTATAGTTTTTGAATACATAAAAACTAAAAACATTAAATATTAGACATCTCTTAATAAATTTTTTTTCCTATTTTGCAACTTTCTTCCCTTTAACATCAAGTGCGTCTTAATGTGTTTTTAGAAGTTCGTTCTCTATTGCAAGAATGTTCTATGCATTTCTAGTCAATTTTTTTTTCCTTTTTCTGTACTTTAGAGTTCATTTTAAATTTTTTTCTTTTCACATAGTTTTCATTGAGATGATCATTTCATTTCATGTTTAATTAACATAGCTATTTTGTAAGTTGCAATAAAGTCATTCACTCATATTGATAATTTATTGTCTAGTCTCAATATATATTTTAGTTAAAGAAATAGTGATCTACAATTAATTATTAACTTTGGATAACTTCCATTTACTAAAATAATACTTTCAATGATATTATCGAAACACATAAAAAATCCTTGCGCATGTGCACGAAAATAGACTTGTAAATCAATTTTGGGCCCCTCATACTTGGTAAGCGGTACGCTAATTTTGGGGAACCGATTTGTGTATCGGAGAGAACCGGTTCGTAGATGTACCGGGAATCGGTTCACATGAACTGTTCGACAGCTCGAGGGGACCAGAGAATCGCGTAACTATGGTTAACACATACCATATATTTGCTTGTATATATTTATTCATGTTATTATATATAAAAAAGCAACTCCTTGTAATTTTACATAATCAATTTAATCGGTGCGTAACCTGTTAATGAGTTTTTGTTGCTGGACAAGCATTGTGCGCAAGATAAAATTAATTTAAAAGAAGGGAGAAGGGAAGTATAAGCCGATCAAGTATACATTGAAAAGCATTGAAAAGGAAAGATAAAATTAATTTAAAAGAAGGGAGAAGGGAAGTATAAGCCGAACAAGTATACATTGAAAAGCGTGGAAAAAGAAGGTGAGAAACAAAGAAAAAGAAAGGACATAAAAAAATTGCCAACACTATTAGTATAGGTCTTGACATGATGATCCAAAGGTGATGGATTGTTCCCTCTTCTCTTTTGCTTCTCCTCTTCTTAGGTGACAACTCATTTTACTACTGAGTTACCAATAGATAGACTATTGATAAGGTATACACTGTTAGTCACATTGAAGCCCACGGCTATCTGTTGGTAGCCCATTGTGCCAAAGAAGACGACAATTCATATATATAGTCCCCTAGATATGTATGTATATGTAATTATGTATGTACATACTACTGTTGAAAATAATGATAACGCATAACATAATGTTCTACCTACCGTTAAAGGTTAAAGAAAAAAAGCAAGAAAACACAACATATAACGTAGGTATTTGGTTTATTAATTATTTCATATTTTATAAATACAAAATATTCATAATGACTTTAATGATTAGAATCATTCAAACATAACAACAGGAACAAAATATTTTCTTACTGTTTAATTTAAGAAAAATATATAAGATGGTCATAATAATTTTAAGAACTAGGAATAAAATATCATAATACAAATATATTTATTAAAAATTCGTTAATTTAATACAAACTATATAGATTTACTAGGAAGTATCACAATCGAATACTCAAATATATAATTATAAATTTATAGCACGTTTATAATTAAATTTGTTTTATTAGTCATATTCATAATTTCACAATTACATAATGATGCCACCGAAACAAGTCATCAAAGCTTAAAAAACAATTCAAAAGTAATTACGTAACTAATTCAAGTATTAAGAAAGGATATACTCTCAAGTCTCTAGAACTTATATTGAAATGGTGCATGTTATGTTGAAATAATGTAAGTTATATTGAAATAATGCATATTATATTATAATAACATTATAATAACATAGAGGGAGAGATGGACTTAAGCTAAAAATAAAATTTTGCTTAAAATTATTCTTTAGGGATTAAACTTTTCGAACAAAAAAGGTTTGATATTTATTTAGAACACTTAAAAATACTTTCAAATCAATGTTTATTTTAAATTTATGCTTTAGGACGTAGAGCTTTTTGATCCAAATATGTGATCTTGATCTAAATACGTAAAAATCTTTGTCAACTAATTTTTCCAAGTTCGAAAGGTTCTCTATTGTTAAACCAATTAACTTGCTATTTTTGGCTGTTCATTTTGCATATTTTCGATGCAAGAGTAAAAAAGCTTTAAGTCCTTGATGTTTGTTTTATAGCAACTTTAAATGACAAATCAACTTTAGTAGAGTACGTGGCCATATTAATCATCAAATGTTGAGTTTTAGTAGGAAGGGGTGGTTTCAAATCCTTGTATCTCTCTCTCTCTCTGTGTGTGTGTGTGTGTGTGTATGTTTGTGTGTGCCCCCCCTACAAAGAAGAATGCACTTCTTATATGCTGAGAATAGAGTTACAAGTTGTATAGAATTTCGATGGCAAGTTGGGTGGGGCGGTCTTGAAGCGTCAGTGGGCAGGGTTATAAACCTAACAAAACCCATCCAATTTTATCGTATGCTTCCCGGGTCCTTAGAGTCCTAGCCTCTTATGTTTTGATTTATTTTAACAGGTAGTAAGCTCGGTCAAATGGCTTGAAGATGAATTGGAACTGAATGCTTTACACAACCCTGGCAGTAAGAGAGGCAGTGGCAATGAGAAGGCTGCTGTAGGGCAGAGAGTTGCACTTTCTGCTGCTTTAGGAGGTCGAGTTGATGTGTCTGCAATGAGTACAATTTCAGGTTTGGTTGATATGCCAAGCTAATGAAACTTCGCTATCTTAATGATTAGTTTTGTTTATTTAATATCAAATTCTATTTCTCCTGTAATCTTCTTCATTGTGATTAAAACTGTACGACTATGATAAGAGATTTATTGTTGAGTATACAAATTACATGTTCTAGCTATTTCTATTATCCACAGGCGTGAAAGCTACCTATCTCCTGGCTGTTGCCTTTTTGGAGATGATACGCTTTAGTTCTAATGGTGGGATACTCTCTGCTGGATCCCCTTCAGTGGCAGAAAGAAGCGCCTTCAGTTGTGTGTTTGAATATCTAACCACTCCTAGCCTAATGCCTGCAGTTGTTCAGTGCTTAACAGCAATTGTCTATAGGGCTTTTGAAACGTCAGTAGCCTGGATGGTAATTTCTGACCTTTATCAAAATTTCCTCCTCTTTTAGTGCTCATATGTCTTATTATGAGGTATATGTATTCTTAATTTTTTTTTCACATGGCCACAATCAGAATTGTGGCATAATAGAGCAAATGTTCTTGAACATTTCTCAGGGATCAAATGATAAAAAATTTCCTCTAGTATTGTGTGCGTTAAGACCCAAATATGGTCTATTAATTCATTTATAACTACGGTTGAGTGTTTGCTTACATCTGTTTCCTAGCTTTGTGGCTTCCAATATTATTATTCTATTATAATGTCTACCATACTGCATCCTGGTAATTGAAGTTATCATATTTTTTCAATTCTGATATGTGGATATTATTATATGCTAAAACTCACATTATAGGTGTTATTAGTTTTGCTTCTTTTGCAGTTGTATTTTCTTAATGGTTAATCCTCTTGATGTACTTTTACATGAAAAGTCTAGTTTTGTTCTTTTAATACTGAATGATCGAGTACTATTGGTGGTATTCAGGAAGAAAGAACATCTGATACCGGAAAAGAAGCTGACAGAAGGGACTTGATTCTTTCTACTCATGTATGCTTTCTAATAAAAAACATTTCTCAAAGGGATGAACATGTCCGTAACATCTCTGTTAATCTGTTAGCTCAGCTGAAGGAGAAATTTCCCAAGGTTGGTATTTACATCTATTTCATTTAGGTTGTAACATTGTCTCTTTATTATATAAAAGATTATGGGACAAAATTATGCAGATCTTATGGAATTCTCGCTGCTTAGATTCTCTACTTTTTGCTGCCACTAGTGAGTTGCCTTCTGCTCAAGTCCATGATCCTAATTGGGTCGGCACTGTCCGTTCTTTGTACCAAAAGATTGTACGGGAATGGATCACTAACGCATTTTCATATGCTCCATGCACGGCACAAGGTCTGCTACAGGTTTGTTCTAGTAACCATTCGAAAATTAGTAAAACCTAAGTTATTTATTCTATGACATCTTACTGATAACTCTTTTCCTTTTTCATTCTAAAGTTATCATAATTTGATTTTTTTGTTGCAATTAGGCTGAATCCTAAGCACTTCCTCTGTTTGTATATTGTATATGAGCCGTAGCAACTATGAAATTTGCACCTAATTTCTATGAGTTACATTTCTCCAGAAAATTTGGTTTATCTCACGTGTCAAGGATGGATGAACCCATTCTTCCCCTTGTAGACTTTCCTAGCTGTAGTAAGACACTTCAGTTTCGCTAAATTTTACCATGTTAAACACAGGGATGCAACTTGGAGATTGAAAATCACTTTCCTTTAACCTGGATACCCATATCCCCTTCTTTCAACAATAGACATAGTTATTCTTTCTAACAAAAAAGAGGAAAAATATAGGAAAACACATCTGAAAAGGGTCAACACGGAATAACAATGCTGTCAGAGTTTAAGTTTTTTTAACTCCAATGTAATACACTAATACGTACCTGTTTGTTATTTGCTCTATATTACTACGATATTATATGTATACATAGAGCAAGAAGATAGTATTGATCAGCTAAGCATGGGACAAAAATTGACATATTACTATTTTTGAATATTGTCATGTAGTAGTATTATTATAACTCTTGGGGAGTTAGCTACGCTTATGCTCTTTCGAGCTAACTCTATCTTCTCTTGTATCATTGAATCTGTGGGGTGTTTCTTTGCATGAACCTAAAATGCGTTACAACCAAGATAAGTGTTACTACTCTAATTGACACCTCAGTTTTATGAGGAGTTCCTACATTATCCAGCAGGTTGATAGCAGACTTACATGCATTTGTAAATTTCGTCATGCTTTCAGTAAAGCCTTCTCATTGAGTTGAAGTCCATGGCTTTGGTGGGCAAATGCTTATATAATCATTGTCAGGACTTGGGATACACTTGGGGATGTAGACCACATATAGCTATTACCTTCATTGCAGTCATTTTCTCATAGAAGATTTTAATTAAGGTAGGTATACTGTTCAAAGAAGGATGTCACCCCCTCAAAATATCCGGTCTCAATTCCTCTCTGACAGTATTGCATGAACTAACTTGTAGAATGTTCATCAATAACAAGTGTTCTATATATTCCAACATCTGTAAAGATCTTCACATATTCATGTAACATATACCAAACATATGCACATACTACTTTCCAAAGTTATACAAACTGGGCTAACTCTTTAAACCTCCAATCAAAGTAAAAGAAATATTCGTCTCTCTGCAGAAACTATTAACATGTGAATCCATCATTGCTCACAAGGATACTTCTTACTAGCAATGTTTTATAGGCTTCTGCCTATACCTAAGCGGTGCCTAGAGTGCCTGCCTAAGTCTTGGAAGCATGTAGGGGAGGTGGGCTGCTTAAGTGCTTATGCTGACTGCGCCGCTTTGGTATTGGTCATGATTTCCTCTGTTGTTGCCTCCACACCCTCCGATCTCTGACATCCTTCAGCCTCCTCCATTGACTACAAACACCTCCTCAACCTCCATCAACCTTCATCAAAACTTCCTCCACTATCTAAATAAACAAAAAAGAAATCTGCCTAGGCCCTGCATAGGTGCTAGGCTTCGGTGCGGCGATAAGCGGTGCCTTGTGCTTTTTGTAACATTGTCTACTAATATCTTCAAAAAGAGAAACTAGAAAAAGTTAGTTATGTATCACACAAAGTCTCGATTATACAGCCACTTTAAGCCAAAAACAATACAATACTAGAAGGTAGCTAATGTTTAGCAAGTGTATGGAGTATTTAATGTGATCTACACTAACCCAGTCAGGTTTCTATGATTTGATTATCGTCTCTAACCAGATGGAATGATGTGAAGCCCGAGATAGAATTCTCTTATTTTCACTTATATCTATTATTCATGGTTTAGGGAATTAAGGAAGCACAATGTCTCGACATGCTTAACCACATTACTACAATCTGACGACCTAAGCTTTGACGTTCTCTCCGGTCAAGGAGGCCGCAGAGTTGTCCGTCCTATTGAGTATCAACTTCCCTCTGGTAGATCTACAATTGAGTTCTTAATCTCAAATAGCTTAACTAACTCATTGAGTGGATATAATGTATTTAGATTCATATATGGGCATTGTAAAAGTTGCTATCATACTTGAATATCTGTGTTAACATTAATGAATATGAATACGGATCTATTAGGGTTACTGGTCACAAAATTTTATTGTTATAAAATGAAAAATGTGTACCTTTATCATGTATGAAAATGGACATCAGAATATGAAAAGGGTAACCCCATAGAAGTAGTTATGTAAGGATGTCATATTGCTAATATATTATGCTTCATCTTGTGTAATAAAATACAGTTAGGAATATACCATTCAGTACTATCAATATATACCATCCACTAATCCTATCAATGTGTTGTAAAAGTGGGCCCAATTGATGAATTGAGATATTCTATTCCTACATTAACTATCAGTAAGGTATTCACCATCGGTTATACTAGAGATCTGGTCGATATTAATCATAACTAGAACATTTTAGGATTTTTTAACAATCAGTGCTCATTTCCAGTCTTAGGTTTTACTAATCTGCATAGCTATTTTTTTTCATTAGGTAGTATACTTAATTTTAGTGAAAACTGCTTCAGCCCCCCTTCAAAATAAAGAACCAACCTTCCGCCCTCTTGACTTTTCCGTGTCAAAACTGCCCTTGACCTAAAAGCCATGCTTCCACCCCATCATCCCATGTGAACTTTTAAGAATTCCCAAAGGACCTTCGCTCTTCGTCCTTTTTTCCCTCTCATCTATCTCATGAACATGTAAGTGGTAAACCCATTGATCTAAAGAATCATAGTTCCATTGCCTTCCTCAACCACCTCTCTCTGCCGAGAGGTAGTAGGGACGAATGGAGGTGGAGTGGTGGCATGAAGAGAGAAGACGAGGGGAGGTGGATGAGGGATAGATGGTGAGGTGGGGAAGAGGGTTCCTATCTTTTACATTTTTATATATAAAAATTTTGTGTTCGGGGAGGCGAGTGGGGGGTGGGGGAGGAGAGGTAGATGGTGAGAGTGAGAGCTAGGTTGAGGAAGGAGAAACATAGATTTGTTGCCCTTAACTCAATAACTGTTACCCTTGTTCATAAACTGCACATATAAAGAGACGCTCAATTTAGAGGAGTAAGTTGATTAAAACGAAGATATGAAAGAAAAAAAAGGAGTAAAATATGCCTACTTATTTCTAGGCTTCTAGCTACTTAATTACTTCTTTGCTTTGACTTCATTGAGACTTCCCTATCCCTTGATCTTTACCTCCAGATCCAACCATGGTTTTGGATTGTTGTTTCACAGAATACTGAGATTCAAAGTGGAGTATGTAGTGAGATTTACATTTTACATCAAGTTATTAAGTGGCGAGGCATCACACACAGCAGTCGTGTTTGAGTTACAATCTCCTCTGGGTTGGGGATGCAATGCTATGTCTATCTTGGTCTTATCAAGGACATTATATCTCAGTTTATGCTGATCAATTACTCGTTAGCTTATTTTGTGGTGACTTAGTTTTAACATATTGGATCTGCAGACTTGTGCACCTAGTGCATTGTGTTTTGTTACTATATTTTTATGTCTCCTGTTGTTTATTACAGGAAAACCTTTGCAAGCTAAATCCATCACAGAAATTAGTTATGGATTCAATTTTTTCTGAGACACGTATTTGTATGGGCAAGAATGATTGTTGGAGTGGTATTAGGACAGCTAATATTCCTGCGGTTGTCGATTCAGCTGCGGCAGCATCAGGAGCAATGAAGGAAGTATTAGAGGGTTCTACCTTAGGGTCTACAGCTTCAGCGAGTGCCTCAGTGAAGTGTAATCGCGCTGTAGAGATTGCTGGTGTGAGAAAATTGTACAACAATATTGGTGGATTACAAATGGGCATTTCACCCGTTGGTTTTGGTGGTGGCCCTGGTGCTGGCGTTCCATCACACCAGTCACTCGATGAGATGTTTTTAACAAGATTCGTTCAACTTCTTCAACAATTCGTTAGTACCGCTGAAAAAGGTGAAGCTGTGGATAAATCCTTATTCCGTGAAAATTGTTCTCAGGCTACGGCATTACTTCTCTCACACATGGTGAGAGTTTTGTGTTTATTGCCTTTTCTACTCATTGTTTATAGCTGGGGATGAGTTTCTTGAGTTTTACATTGTACAAATTCAAATCTAATGTAGTGTTCTTGTCAGGATGATGAGTCAGAAGTAAAGTTGGATGGATTTTCACAGTTACTGCGGCTTCTTTGTTGGTGCCCTGCTTATATTTTAACACCTGATGCAATGGAAACAGGAATATTTGTTTGGACATGGCTAGTTTCTTCAGCTCCTTCCTTGGGGGCTCTTGTACTTGCAGAGCTTGTTGATGCATGGTTGTGGACAATAGATACAAAGCGTGGCTTATTTGCATCAGGTACGAGGTATTCAGGTCCTGCTGCAAAATTGAGGCCCCATCTTGTCCCTGGAGAGCCAGAAATGCCGCCAGAAAAGGATCCTGTTGAAGGACTTATGGCTCAGAGACTTTGGCTTGGTTTTCTCATTGACCGATTTGAGGTGATGAGCTATAGCAAATTCAATTCAATCATGAAGTAGCATCTAGGTGAAAAAGTTGCATTTTTAATCAGTATGACAACTAGAAGCTTTCAGCCTCTTATAGGAAATAAAGATACTTTGTTGTCGTATTTAAATAAATTATAATTATAATCAACCTTAATTAAAATGTATGACCTTGCTTATATTATGTGCTAAAACTTAGCCTAATGGTTAAAAAAAAGCTTACCATTAAAGATGAATTACACCGTGCTTACTGCTTAATATGTCTAATGTATTTTTTAAACATTTTATACAATCGACATTGTCTTGTTAACTTCATTAAAACAAGTGAACAGTCCGCCTTATCTCCTATGGCAACTCATAATCATGTTGGACAATGTTATGAAATATCTGAAAATTCATGCTGTTATCTTAGTTTAGTTCTACAAGGAAATTATTCTGTTATTGGATGTTCTACCTTGAGTGTGGGTCCAATCTGATCTCTAACAGAGTTAAAAATTTAAGCAATGTTTTGTAGTTTACTGAACTGTGTAATGGCCATTTTCAGTCAAGAAGTATTTCTACTGCTAACAGTTCTCAGGGGTGTTATGGAAGGGCCTGATTTTTAATAGTTTCCGGAAAAGGATCTGGGCACTAAATTGTAGTTAGTTGCATTAGTTTGCATTAGGTTGGCAGCCAGCTGTTCAAATCTTCCCTCATGCTTTCTCAAATTTGACTTTTATTGGGTAAGTTTTTGAATGATTACTACAATTTTTCAAAAATCTCATTGCTAATGGACTATTGACATGTTTTCTCTTGATTTATATTATGATATAACCTTATAGAACGGTTTTCCTCTTGCACCCATCACCATTTTTTTTTTGTGGTGGTGGGGGGTGGGTGGGGGCTGGAAGTTGAAGCATTATATATTTTCCAGTGTTTGTTCCCAGTATTTTAGAAGAAACTGTCCAATTCAACAATATATAGATGAACAAATTTAGCTTATTTGTGCGTTAAAAGAAAAGATTGATACTTTGTAAAGGGCTTAGCCATCTTGTAGCCATCAATGTGAACTATTCCCTTGTTTCTACCCTGTAGTCTTTATGAGGATAAGGATGTAAATGGGCATCCAAAATATCTGAATTTGCTTCTTATCCATATCCATTTAAGTGTACGAGTACTAGTATTGGATCAGAACAAAATTTCACAAGCTTCCTTTTTACTGAATTTGGAATTGTTATTTTGTTGAAATGGGCAGTAGTTAAGCCAATGACACATCCTATGGAAACAATTTTTTTTCATCAAAAGCATCAATATTGAACTTAATGAAGTAAGAGTTGTAATATGTGCAATGCTTCACAAAACACACAAAGAGCAAATTCCTTGATTTCTTCTATACTTTTTGTATAATTGGAACTTCTTCATTCTTTTTTATCTATATTAACTCATTATAATTATGAACAAAGTTCAGATTACAAGTATGCCATAACCATATTCCTCTTGTTCCTTAAGCATGCCATTTAGAGTTGTACTTGATGTGTTTCTATGGGAAAATGTAAAATGGGACAATCGATTTGTTTGGACCATGGTTCAACGAATCAGGATTGTTCCCAGGCTGTTCTCAGAGAACTCAATGGAATTATATAGGATATCTAGCATCAAGAACTTAATTTTGTTTGATGCTGGTGTATCAAGAATGAGTTCGCAGTTCAAATGTTTCGAGCAAAATCTACTATAAATATATTGTGTTTTAACTCCGTATGTGTTAGGTCTGATGTTAAAATTGTAATATGCCTTATGAAATCCATTTTAATTGACACCTTTGTCTTCCTTTTACACCTGCTATAAGATACATAAGTTATTAAATTCTCTTTTGCTACTTGGTAGGTAGTTCGACATGACAGTGTTGAGCAACTTTTACTCCTAAGTAGAATGTTACAAGGAACCATGAAATCCCCATCACATTTTTCTTGTCATCCTGCCGCTGCTGGCACCTTCTTTACCGCAATGCTTCTTGGTTTGAAGTTCTGTTCATCTCAAGCACAGAGTAATCTACAGGACTGCAGAATAGGGCTTCATCTGTTAGAGGACCGGGTCTATCGGTAAGGAATATTTTCCCCTTCACTGGCTCTATTATTTTATTCAGGTGTTCTTTGGGGTTGTCTATTGGATGTAGAAGAAAATATTTGTCTTGTGCATAGTTTAACCTTGGTCATCCCATCATGGTATTCATTTCCAATGTGTTAAATCTGTTTTTTATATTCATAGTCTGTTTGCTTAATGATAAATTATAGTATAGTGTTGAAAATTGTTGTAGCTATGTAGATATAAGAGATATAATGGTTATTTCTTTATTTTCTGTGTAGTGTTATTCTTCTCTTTCTATGTTTAAGAGCTGATATAGCTGTTTGACTTGGTTGTGGTTTCTTTTGATGTTCTGCTGAAAAATGATATTACATCATCAATGGAGTTACTCATAGTATAATTGATGATAAACATTAACAGACCTAAACCCTAGTTTGATTGCTTTGATGGTGGTTCAATGTTTGAGTTTGACATTATAGTGAATCTCCTACGATTCATGATTATCTGTATTTCTTACTTTTAAACTGTCCTTGTTTATCAGTGTTGTTGTTACATTGAAGAATATCATACTATCCCATATTAGATTATCATGTTTTGCCATTACAATTATGTTGCATTCCATTATTTGTTTTTTGCAAGGACTTAGTCTTTTTTCTTTCACCATGGTTTAGAGATGAATTTCTCTCTCCCTCTCCTCGTGTGGGTGGACTCAATACAGCTTTTTTGCATAGTCTTACTTTTTTCATGATTGTCATTTAGCTCTGTTCATATTTAGATAAACCCTCATGTTGCTTTACGGCAATCATTTTAGCACCCTTTAATCTTTCTAAGAACATTGAAACGGTTGTCTAAATCAGAGTATAGTCTATTCTTAGTCAGCCTTAGGTTCTAATGAAGCAAACCTTAGTCTCCTCGTCCATACATTTATGACTAGTAGGACAAATAATCTGATGGTTAACTTATCATAGGAGTGTTATCCTGTCTGTCCTGACTATTTATCCTTATAAGGCAGCTGTCAGGCTTTTGTCTTAATGTGTTCTGGTGATGGGTCCTCCATGCATCTGATGATGCCATTTTCTAAGTGGAAACTTGAGCTGTTTTTGAGCAATAGAATCCTATGTAGCATACATGTTTCTTTTGGAGGAAGTGAATTGTTTTTTGTATACTTAACGAGGTTGGCTATGACAGTAATTTCTTGAAACTTGTCTAAAGTGCTAGACGCTGGGCAAAGTAATACTGTACCAGGGGCATGGCATTTTATACATAACTCATGGTTTCCTATCACCAAAGAAAATGAATGGTGGAAATATTTCACAGTGATGTTGTCACGCTCGAACCAACATCAAGTACTATTATATAATCAATTATAAAACTAAGGCACATGACACAAATCCTCTTAACAAGAGAACTTGCGAAGCCTAATTTCAATATCTTCCAAAATTATATTTCTAAATGGACGATCTTGAAAGGAAAATCTTTTGATTTTGAATCCAAACTTATATTAATTGTCTGTGCACTTATTTGCTGATCATGACACATGTACACATATATGCCAGCAAAATCACTTGTCATAGCATCTGCTGTAGTCGTCTACTGCTAACGATGTGGTTCACATCCTTGAATCACGTGAGACTGTATCCTTCAAGCCACACAAATCTGAAATATTACTTTACTTTTGGAGTGAGCTTTCCACATGCGCAGTAAGTGGTACATATTCATAATTTATATAACTGAAATCATGACTGAAATAGAATATTATCCAACAGAGTAGTTTATGATCAAGATCAAATGATTAAATTCAACTTCTCAATTTGGGGTACTCTAGATCATCTAGGGAATATATAAATGTACTCATTTAATACTTAAATATCTCAATTGTTTTCAGATCTCTCTCTCATCCCACAAGCTAGAAATCCTTCACATTCTTCTCTTATGACTCTAATCAAGTGCTTACATAAAAGATGATAATATCTCGAGTGAAAATCCCAACACATCCTTCAACTATAAGATCAGATGCTTCATCTTTTGGAAATCACTGTGTTCTTTTACACTCAATAGAAGTATGATGAGATGCTAACTAATCTAATTCAGAATCACCTCAAGTCCTACATTTCTAACCATAGTAAGTCTGCTAGAATGCTACTTTCCAACTTTAAAATTACATCCATTATACACCTTATCTAATATAGATCCAACTCTTGCGTCACGACACTCCATTCAAACTCAAGCATTTTTAACGTACTCATTATATTAACCAGTACACAATGTAAATCATACTTGAGACATATAATCAACATGTAATTCCTAGCTCCATGGATCTATACTCTTATAGATTTATTCAACTCTGTTCTGTAGGAATTTAAAATGAACAGTAATAATAATAATAATAAACACTGCGTTGGGCTACAAGCTGAGATAGAAATAAGTTCTTCAAGCCGTTAACTATCCTGCTATCTTAATATGCTCATGCATACCAAGTCCCACAAAGACCCCACATCTTGCCTTTCGACTTACACAAAACAGAAACGATGGTTTACCCCTTTTGTGTCTGCTCCTCAGCTCCTATATCCCTGTACTTTATCACGCTCTGCCCTTCGCACGTTGTTTGTGAGCTTAGTTGTATCTTCTGGTCAACAGGAGTAGGAGCTAGCATTTGCTGCCTAGCCTATTTATTCAGTGTACTGTCAAACTTGCAGATAAGGATCCCACTTAATTTTTTATACCAATATTTGTTAGTTCATACACCAAGTCATCTTAAGAGAATAATGCGAATTCATACTGAAGTGAGAGAAGAGGAGACAATACTTCAAAAGCCTTATTTGACCTGGATACGTCAATTATATTTATTGCATACCCATGCTTGTCTATTTAGACCATCTCCAACCCATTGCACCAAAATAGTGCAAATTTTGCACCAAAATGGTGCAAAAGTCACATCTAACAGTAATTCATCTCCAACCCATTGCACCATTTTTTGCACCAAAAAAGAATATTCTCAGTATATTCTTTTTTATCTACTTTTATATTATTATTTTCTATTCTCTATATTTTTAACTATTTCAACAATTAACCCCACATATCAAATTTTATTTTTTTCACATATTCCTTTTTATCTACTTTTAATTATAATGTCTAGATTTTAATATTATAATTAATAATAATGTCTTTTAAAATTTAACATTATTTTTATAATTAAAAAAATAATTTATTTTGTCCAAATTATACAATTGGGGTAAAATTATAAAATTTAAATATTATTGGGGTTGTTTTATAAATTTAAATAAAACATGAACAGTAATAAAACGATGAACAGTGCGACTCCATATTTGGTGCAACACTGTTCAAATGCACCAAAATGGCGCAGGAAATGGGGCAGGGTTGGAGAAGGAACAGTGCCAAAAAATGCACTGTTTGCACCATTTTGGTGGGCGCAGGAAATGGGGCAGGGTTGGAGAAGGAACAGTGCCAAAAAATGCACTGTTTGCACCATTTTGGTGCTGGGTTGGAGATGGTTGGAGAAGGAACAGTGCCAAAAAATGCACTGTTTGCACCATTTTGGTGCTGGGTTGGAGATGCCCTTACACTAATATTATTTTCATGCGCGTATCATGTTTCCCTTTTTGAATGAAAGAATTGAAGCAAGAATAGATTTGTAGTTAATATTGTCTTCTAACCTGCTGATGTGGCCGGAAGGCTTTCTTTAAACATCTGGCTGTATTTAACGTCATGGTATACTTTTTTTTAATTATCATCATAATTATCTAATGGTGTCTAGAGCTCAGGTAGCCATAGTCTAGTTTCATCATGATATTTATTGCATAACTAAATGATTGTTAACATTTACATATTTATGCATCTTCTGTTTTAGTGCTGCATTGGGATGGTTCGCTTATGAGCCAGAGTGGTTTGAAGGAAATATTAAAAGCTTCGCTCAGAGTGAAGCTCAGTCAGTTTCCATATTTGTACATCATCTATTAAGTGAGCGAACTGATGCCACTCTACTTGATTCATCTTTAAGAGGTCGTGGACGTGAAAGTGATTTGAGAAACATGGTAACCAACCCTGAGAATACATTTAGGCTCCATAGGATCGTTGCTCAAGTTACAAACGGTTTTAAATTTCTGTAAAATAAAAATTTTATCTCACTTTATTGCTTGTTTTCCACCTTGCATAGGCTGATGCGTGTCACCCTGTTTGGGGCCAGCTGGACAACTATGCCGTTGGACGCGAAAAAAGAAAACAATTGCTTACAATGCTTTGTCAGCATGAGGCTGATAGACTTGAAGTCTGGGCACAGCCTTTGAATAAGTACGTTTTTGCACATAATCTAAGTCTATTTAGTGTAAATTTTCTTTCTGTTGAGGTTATTACTTATTTTGTCCTCTCATCTGGGCTGATGTACAGAGAAAACACATTATTTCGTTGTACTAAAATTGGATCAGATAAATGGGTTGAACATGTAAGAACTGCATTTTCTGTGGATCCTCGCATTGCGCTTGCCTTGACGTCAAGATTCCCTACAAATTCATCTGTTATTGCGGAAGTAACTCATTTGGTTCAGGTGCAGTTTTTATCAATCGTTCTGTTTGAGTTGTTGCATTTTTTGGAAATTTATGGGTCTCTACACTTTGTTAGTTTCCTTTGAATTTAGGTTTTTGTGTAACGTGCTTCTGGTGTTTCTTTTCTATATGGTTAAGTCCTTTTGAGGTAGGACCTTCCAAAAGTACTTATCGAAAGATGTCCTTTAGGTCTTGAGTTTAGGCTCCAGTTGGTCCCTGACCCGACCCCGACCTTTAAAACAAATGTTAACTGGGAACAGTGGAACCTGATATAGCACCATCTATTTCAGCCACTTTTTAATGCTGAAGTGTCGCGCGAAATATTGTGAGTGCCAAAATGTCATTTGATATATTGGAATCTCGACAAGTTCCAACTTTCTAGACACTATTTAAATAGATTAGTTAGAGGAATTGACACGGATGGAATCTCTAGGATTTTCTAAACAGATAATCTAAAGAACTCAACGTGACATGAATGCAAAATTATCACTAAAGAACAGCAGAGATAAAACTATAATTAATAAATTATAAATCAACTTAAAATAATCTAAAAACGCCCACAGTAATAGTAAAAGACAAATAACTAACTCAAACTGAACCTAAGGCACATGAGTAGTTCACGAATGATTCATGGTTTGTTATGAGTACTAATCAGTTTAGACCAAATACCTACAAACTAAAATTGCAAAAGGCCTTTTAGTTTCAGATTCTTACAAATCATGCAATCGTAGATTAGCAATTCTAATTTACCACAGAATTGAAGACAACCAAGACTGGCTTTGGTAACAGATCAAAGGCCGTGGATGAACCTTGTGGGTTCTCTGCGATGAAGGCGAAGACGTGGAAATAGAGACTTGAACTCGACGATGAAGAGAAGAAGTTTGATCATAGCAACGCTTGATTACTATGTTGGGTTTGCTATTTCTGAATTTTACGAACAGAATGAAGGTGAGAATGACTAAGCAGAGCGGAGCAAATTTAGGAACTTACGATGGGTAAAAACTTTGAGATGATGCGGCAGTGATGTGGTCTTAGGATTAGCTATGAGGAGCTGTTGTATTTGATTGGATTTAATTAACAGTGCGGGTGCGGACACGTGTGCGGATACTTGACATGGTAAAATTGTAAAAGTTAGCACATGGGGACACAACTATATACATATTAAAATTAATAATCTATATGTGATTGATATTATTTTTCATTCATATATTATCAGAACTAAAATCCTTATGCCATGGTAAACTGAAAAACTGCCCGTTATTGAACTAGACACCTAAACGACTCTTTAAAATCATACTTATGAACTAGATATGAGCTAAAGTGAACCTGACCCGAGGCTAACGAGTTGTATAAATGTGAGTTGAAGTGTACGATATATGTTCATGAAGTGTATCACGAGTTTTTTAACTAAAACATGTGTTATATAACTGAGTACACGTCTGAATAAATATATGTATATATTCAAGAAGCGTCTGACACAGACACGGATACGGGAGGTGTCAGACATGGATACAGGAGTCTAAATGAAGTGTCTAGGTAATTGAGTTTAAGAATAACGAGAAAAGGCTGGTTTCACACATGGACATCTAATTGAAAAACGATGGTTCACGCCTTTTAAGAATCACTCCACAATCTTCTCTAAACCTAATTTTCTTTATTCAAATCAAATCTCATGATCTCTCTCTGTTTATACTAAAAAGTCTAACTGATGTATATAGGTTTAAAACCCTCTCTACTAAATTTCAAAACAGAAATACATTTCTAATCCTACCTATTCAAAATAAAAAACTAGTCTATCTCAGTTAAATTAAAGTTCAAATCAAACACTAATTTAAAACTTAAATCTAACTAATTTAGTCTTGAGCTTGATCCCATCAGGAATTTTGGGCTTTAGAATGAACGGATGTATGGGAGTGTCAGAGAAGAGGCATATATGTCATAGAAAATTTGACAACTATAATGCAAATTTACATCAAAGATGCGAGTTGAAAAAGTAGGAGACCACATTGGTGGGCTTTATGAGATTATGCTGATAGAAACCAGAAACCTTTTCTTTTCTAGGCTATTGCTTTCGACTTGTGCTTTTTTAAAAAGTTAATTGTTAAGAAAGATCCAAATGTATGAAAAAGCACTTATTTTCTTAAAATCTATGAAAGCAAGCATAGTCAAACACATTCCATTATTATAATGCTTTACTCTTCTAGTTCATCCCTTGTGAGTTTTGGGTGGCGGGTATTTGTTTAGTTGAATAATAATTGTCCACAATTTGAAATCAATATTTTGAGATGCAAAATGGTATCTCGAAAGTCAAATCATGTTTATACTAAGTAAGTACATAGAGGATTTTGTCACTTAGTGTCACACCCGGAACCTATCTAAATATTAACAAAACATGATAGAATTAGGGCATGTGACAGCCTACCGCAATTTATCTTAGCAAGAAGACTTGTGAAGATGAACTCCAATATCCAATAAACATACAATTCTAAATCTATAGAAAATTTATATTCCAATTTCAAACTTACATAGCTTATGCTCACGGAGCTTGTTTGAACTTATCCTTGAAGTCACACTAGTTTGAAGGTCTTTACTTGTAGCGAGCTTTCCACATGCTCAATAAGCAGTACATATTCAATAATTTATGTAACTTGAACCATACATATAACAAATTATTGTCCAAATAAGACAATTTTAATAAATATGCAATATTTTACAATTACATTATGTGCAGAAAATTAGACAATATCATATCATGTGTTGACAACTGTACTACTTTATAATTGCGATCTATCTAGGAAGACTACCTAACGCTATGCTCTTGACAAGATTACTTGCATTAGGATCTGTTTAGCGTGGACTGCCTACCGTAGCGGTCTATGCATCCTTACCCTTGCGTTTTGACAACTGTACTACTTTATAACTGCGATCTATCTAGAAAGACTACCTAACGCTATGTTCTCTTGACAAGACTACTTGCATTAGGATCTGTTTAGCGTGGACCAAGGTTTTAAATATCGGTTATCGGGGATTTATCGGACGGCCAAAATCTTTATCGGATAGCGGAAATCGGGGATATATCGGGGATACGTAGTATTTATTGGAGCAATATACTGGATGGTGTATATATATAATATAACAACTAAAAAATATAATCTAACCATGCTTAATGAAATATAAACATACCAAAAACAGAAAAGCAAAGTATGTACAGTTTATTCACTAATTTCTTATATAAGTCTCTGTTACAGGAAAAACAGAAAAGCAAAGTATGATAAAAGAATAGTTATAGAACTGATATTACTCAAAAGAGAAAGTGCGTGCGTGAAGGGATTACAAGAAAAGGAAAGCTCACAGCATGTGTATATAGCCATGTTTCCGGACAAAAAAAACATGGTTAACAGAGGGTAGGTGAGCGACGAAGTTCAAGGTTGAAGTTCATGATGGCGAGTGATGAAGAGGCGCAAAAAACATGAGATGGAGATAACAGAGGAAGCGCCCTACGAGAAAATGAGCAGCCTCCGGAGACGAAGTTTGGGTTTGAAGGTCGGATTCATAAAGTTTCGGGTTTTAAGTTTCATATTATTAACAAAACGGGTCGGATCGGGTTTTAAAAACTCAACAACCCAACTCAAAATGCCTGGCCGATAATCCCGATAATTTAGCCTTATCGGCCGATAAGTGCCGATAACGCTGATAACTCGTCGATAATCTCTCCAAAACGATAACCGATTACAAAACCAACTTATCCTAGCGGAGAGCTCAAAAATCCGATAACTCGGTCGATAATATCGATTATCGGTCGATATTTAAAACAATGGCGTGGACTGCCTACCGTAGCGGTCTATGCATCCTTACCCTTGCGTTTTGACAACTGTACTACTTTATAACTGCGATCTATCTAGGAAGACTACCTAACGCTATGTTCTCTTGACAAGACTACTTGCATTAAGATCTGTTTAGCGTGGATTGCCTACCGTAGTGGTCTATGCATCCTTACCCTTGCGTTTCTTAGTGTACGTAATTAGTTAAGGATCAATGCAATATATGCATCAAAATGACTCATATTATCTGACAAAACTCGCTTGTCATGTATAGCTTACGAAGGGAAAATCAAATACCTGTACATAATAATTCAACAAGCATTAGCTCATACTTACAATAATCATGAAATATCATAAATCATACTTTTGACATGAATTCCATGCTTGCGCATCAAAACATAACATTTGTATGTGAAAAATCAGAAAAATCATAATTAAAAAAAACTATAAGTCCACTTATAAGCGTTTCAAAATTCCAAGTTCCTTGTGGCTCTTTAAAAGTTATCTATAACTCTTACTATTGTTTACTAAAAAGACGTATAAACATCAACTTCCAACTTAATCCAATAACTTAATGTGATATCCTTCAAGAATGTCTAAATCCAAATAAACTTAAACATCATTTGAAAATTTTAACAACTATCTATTTTTGATAGAGCTTCAATTTTTGATTTAGCTGCAATTCAATGCTTCCCTTTCTCTTCTCCTTCTCTTTTCTTCTTCTCATCTTTATCTTTTTTTCTCCATTTTTTCTTCTCTCGTTGGTTCATGAAAGGGAAGGTGAAAGGGTTGCTCACCTCCTTAATCAAGGACACATGTTCTTTCTTCAATTTCTGAAATGCCATCTTCCTTTTTGCCTCATGCTTTTGCATGTGTGTCATCCCTCTCTCTCAACATGTCACCTCCACTTTTAGCTCATCCGCCCATCATGACGTGTTTCAACCTTCACTTCAATAATGCTACTTCCACGTCCACTTTATCCTTCCGTATTTACCTCCACCTTTTTTAGTCAATGGACAAATGTCCCTTTCCTTTCTCATATAATGCCACAACCATTTCTTATCCATTGGGCACATGTCCATTAATCTTGTATAAGGTTCTATTTCTTATATTTTCCATTTTTTATCAATTGCAAATATTTATTGTAACATCGTATAAATGCATAATGTAATTCATAATAG